TGATCCGAACGTAGCAATGTAATTAATGTGCAAATGGTATTTGCACATTAATTACATTGCTACTTTTGGATCAATATAAAATATTGATATTTTTTTTTTTTTTCAGTAAAACACGAAACACAATTTTAGTACCATTTCATTTTTTTGTGTGTCTTCCCATAGATGTTTCTCCACCTGTAAACAGTGGGAAAAACAGGCCGACCACTCTTGGGAGCAGCCAGTTCAGCACATCAGGTAGGACTTCCCGTGGAAATCCTTTAATGAAAGATTGTCTTCCTCTCACACTGTCCAGTCACCTCCTCCTGTTGATTCTCAGCAAAGTCTTGCTGCTGTTGATTATAGGGATGAATTTCATCCCAAGGTGTTTTTGATTTTGATTTGTCTTGATTAATAAGAAGCAGGTAAGAGAAGGGTTCAGATATGGTCTTTGAAATCAGATATATCCACGGTTATAATTACTCTGAAATGAAAGGCACCACTGTTGTTAAATTGTAGTTGCTGGTAGTTTTTTGTTTTTTTGAATTGCACACATTTTTTGTTTTTGTCTCCTTTGGACCCCACATAAAATTTTGACCGTCTTGTGAATGAAAGGTGAAACGTAGTTCTGTCTAAAACTGAAGCTGGTCAAAACGTGTTTTTTTTTTCTTTAGTTTCTTATGAGAGTGATATCTTCTTCAGGTTCCTACACACATTACCTAACTAAGTTCTCAGTTGTTGTTTTTTTAGCCTTTATAGAGCAGCTAACCTGTGTGTGTGTGTGTGTGTGTGTGTGTGTGTGTATTTATATATTATTCATTTAAAAAAATAAAACCATTAAATGGCACTTTGCGGAGAAATATATTTCTGTAATTCACACAGATCAAACACAAATGCTGACTGAATAGATTGCTAGTTAATTTTGAGTAACGTTAGCGAGCTAACAGTCATCTTGGCAGTTTGCTGATAATCCGGTGTCTGAAGTAAAATGCTCAAAACATCTTTTGAGAAAAATCACATGGTCGACCTAGTCGTGGGTGTTTCATTTTGATTTAGTCTTATTTTCCTCTCGTTGTCATTCAAGGCCAGGGCACTTTTTGTACATTTCTGGAACTTTTGCACGCTTCCACGTCGCGCGAATCTACGGATCTCCTAGGAACATTCATTATATATTGCTGCGTACATTTATCCGTGTCACCTAGATGCGCATGCGCGATCATGGTCGTCTGACAACGAGATTAAGCAGCTGAACAAGAAAACGGCTATGTTCCGATTGTTCTCATCTCAGCTCCGCCAAGACAAAATACACATGCCATTTCAAAAATCTTTTATTTAGTGTCAGAAATATGTTTTAAAAAGCATTACTTTCATCAAATTTTATGTGACATAATTTCCAGTAAGCAACTGACTGCAAACAGGCACATCAGGACATAAATGAGTCGTACTGGGGCTGAGCCCATGAGAGCCCCAGCCCAATTACCTCCATATATATATATGTGTGTATGTGTGTGTGTGTGTGTGTGTGTATACACAGTTAAGCAAGACAGATTACTACCTTTTCTATAGGTCCAGAAGATGCATGTTTGTGATAGTCTGTTTATACACTATATATCCTGTCATAGGTGACTAAACGTTGCTGTAAAGATCATCTATTGTCTAATGTGCCGTAGAAGGAGGAAACAATCAAGCCTTATTCAATCTCAATGCTTGTTTTATGTAAAGCAACAAAGCAGAGCCCTTGTTACACTCTTCTGCTGTCGAGGACACACTTTTAGTGGATTACTGAATAGCAGCACAGCCGAGATGCTTTTGTAAACCTTTTAATAAATGAAAAGTTTACGTATGTGATCTCATAATTAGTCTTTGGCTCTGATGTGCTGTGATATTTTTTTAAGGGATAAAAACATCTCTTATTTGTTTTGTTGACACATCTTACTCAAAACAGCAGTGTTTCAGAGATGGTTTGGAAACGCTGTGGGTGTTTTATTTCAAGCACTCTCAGAGATTTGTATTTGTGAAGCATCAAGATAGTAAAGAGAAGCCATTTTGCTGTATCCATCTATGGAGCCCTTTGTAAACATGGTGACGTTTTTTTTGTGGGCGGAGCTTCGGTGGCGGCAGAACGATTCCCTTCACCCCTTCACTAACGCTAGTTTGCAAGTTTTGTTAGTTTTTTTTTTAAATGACTGCAGAAAATCAGATTTTATCTTAATGTGTAATGTCACTCACTGTCCAGTTGTTATTTGCAAAAGTTAATTTTAACGGGCGGAACCAGATTGGCTGACCCATACATGCTCACTCAGTGGAGTGGATGGACGATCTGACAGGATTAACGTCACCTCGGTTGAGTGGCCTGACATCTACACCAACCTGAGAAACCATGCCTAAAGAGAAATTGAGGACATATAAACCTTTAGATGCCTATGACTGTGTTGAAAGGTCACGTACAAGACTTGTGTTGTGGGGTACACTGTAAAAAAAATATTGTTGGTTTAACTTAAAAAATGAAGTAACCTAGTTGCCTTAAAATTTTAAGTTGATTAAAATAGAAAAAGTGAGTTAATCAATGAAGGAGATTGATTTAATAATCAGAAACTCAAAATTATAAGTTATCTGAACTAAATAAATTATTTAAGTTGATTTGACAAAAGACAAAATGTTGTGATAACAAATCTTGAAAATAGATATTTTTTTACAGTGCGCCAAGGTCAGAAGACGACCATGTAAAGAGTGACATTACAGTGCAATTTTAATAATGTAAATATTTTCTAGATTCCAGAGACAGCAAATAAATTTTTTAACTATGTATTTGATTATTCTTTCTTACCAGGTTCTTCAAAAAGTCTAGGTACAATCAAACACAACAATGTAGGCTATACAATCATAGATGATTCACAATTGTTTAGGAAACATTATGCAATAAAATTTCAAATTGGAGCCAGTACTCCTTCGATTCTTCCACCCAACAACACAAGATGACATTTAATTATAATAATAATATTTTAAGCTCCTTATTATGTCGCCGAATCAGTGCTGGTTTGTATTAGCCGCCTCCAGTTTTTCCCTTTGTTTTGCCTCCAGCCAACACTGTGATGTCGCTGCAAAAGGGGTCTGAATGCTAGATAATTCAAGCTTGCCAGTCCTGATTATGAGGTGAACTATATCAGGTGAAATATATACCTTATTTTTCATGTAAGAGCATTTGTTACTTGAATGTTTCTTTTAAGCAGTACAAAACGGCTTCTTATGCTGCCTAATATTGCAAACTGCTATTTCTTACCATAATATTTTAATGTATTGTCTTATTTATAAACATATTGGTTTGTAGTACAAGCATTGTTACTGTTTAGTTTACTGCACTTTGTTACTTTTCTTTCTATTTCTCTATAGTATCTGGTAGCATGTCGGTCAGGAGTGCCCAACCCTGCTCCTGCCGATCGACTGCCCTGCACAGTTCATCTCCAACCCTAATCAAACACACCTGCCTTTAATTTTCAAGTGATCCTGATGACCTTAATTGGTTGCTTCAGGTGTGTTTGATTAGTGTTGGAGATAATCTGTGCCGGACAGTTGATCGTCAGGAGCAGGGTTGGGCACCCCTGATGTAGGTTGTCTTCAAACTGGAAGGTTGGTCGTTCAATCCCCGGTTTCACTTGACCAAGTGTCGAGGTGTCCATGAGCAAGACGCCTAACCCCTGCTGGAATGAATGGGTGAATGTGAGGCAATATGTAATTCGCTTTGGTAGCCATGGGTCACGCACATTCACAGAAAACAGCTTACTTCCCCTGTTGAAAAATAAGGAGGATGGGCTCTAAATAAAGAATTGAAAGGACTATTTCCAGTTTAGAACAGCATTTGTGGCATAATGTTGACAACACAACAATTATTTTAACTTACCTCTTTGTTTTTTGTTGGTTACAGGAAGGCATTTACAATGGAAGGGAATTGGGACAATTTGTCAGCGTGAAAATGCTCACTGTTTCTATAGTTATAGAAACAAAACATGAACACTATAACATGATTTTAGTGTGAAAAAATCACTTACTAAGGGCCGTTCACACAGAAAGCAGTTTTGCCTTAAATATGAATGTGAGACACGGGCAGTGAAGCTTACGCTTAAGTCTTACGCTTAGGTCTTAAGACAAGTTTTTTTTAAAAAAGTTGAAAAGTTAAACTAATTTGAAAGGAGTAAGGAGTTTTTTCACTTTAAAAAAAAACCCATGTCATCCAAGATGTCCATGTCTTTCTTTCTTCAGTCGAAAAGAAATTAAGGTTTTTGATGAAAACATTCCAGGATTTTTCTCCATATAATGCACTTTACTGGGCACCAAACGGCTCAAGGTCCAAAAGACGATGAATAAGGGTCTTATCGAGTGAAACGATCGCTCATTTAAAAAAAAAAAGTTTTATAAGCTATAAGTTCATCAAAATGAACGATAAACGAGTTTGAACAGGAGAGTCACGAATGCGACCGTTTGAGCTTATAAAACTTAAACTTCGTTAATTTTTTTAAATGAGCGATCGTTTCGCTTGATAAGACCCTTATTCATCGTCTGGAATCGTTTAATGCCCTTTGAACAGTTTGCAGTTTGTACTGAAAGTGTCTTTTGGACCTTGAACCGTTTGGTTCCCACTGAAGTCCATTATATGGAGAAAATCCTGCAATGTTTTCATCAAAACCTTAATTTCTTTTCGACTGAAGAGAGAAAGACATGGACATCTTGGATGACATGGGGGTGAGTAAATTATCAGCAAAAGTTTTTTTCTTTAAGTGAACTACTCCTTTAAAGGTCCTGTTCTTCATGTTTTTTTTTCAGCTGTGATTGTGTTTACATTGTGCAATGTAACGTGTTCATGTTTCGCGTGTAAAAAAAACAGTATTTTTCACACATATCAATTTGAGCCTGAATCATAGATGAATATAATGGATTAGGACCTGTTCAAACACGACTTTTGCAGGATGTTTCACAGTGGTAATCTGTTTATTTAGTAGTGGTCTTACTTTTAATTGGTTAAAATGTAATGTTAAATGTTACAAACTGTTATAAAAGCTTGTGGGATATGCTTTTTTCCGTCTGTCCAATTAACAATGGCGTTGTTGAATTTTTAAAATAAGTCCATTGTTTATTCCTACCTTAGTTACATGTGTGCACGAGTTTTGATTAGTAATATATGTTTTATAGTTAGTTGTACATGTGGTAACTGTGACAAAATGCCAAGGGAGGTTGAAAACATCTGCTGCAAAGAAATACAAAAATTACTGTAATGCCTCCTAATTAAATCATTTTTTGTTGTGTATAGTTCTTTTGAAATTGTTTTCATCCAAACAACTTTATATAAACATACTTCATTTTTACCATGAATATAGCCTTACAAGCTACCGTCTTTTGTGTAAAAGAAATCGTGGCCGTGCATTACAATAATTTATTTATTAATAATTAATTGTTACGTGACTACTGCACATTAAATTATTACTGCCTCACATCAATTTATAGGTTTGTCGACGAATTATTATTACTCTTCCTCTTCTCCGTCGGAGCTCAACAAGACCACGCCTCCTCTTTTGTGTATTCCTGTGGGCGGAGATTAGTCAAAAAACTGTTCTAATTACGTCCTTAAAAAGGAAGTAGAGGGATGTAGTCCAAACCGGGCGTTCGCTAGGCTTTTAAAGGGGACTTCTGTTAATTAAAATATCTCGCTAGGCATTGAACTTTGAGCTTTATAATTTTACATGTATTATTTATGTTCTAACAGCAACATTGCACACTAACTAATGTTTAAAAAATGGAATCTCAAAGAACAAGACCTTTAACTTGAGCGGCGGATTTCACTTCATGCGCGAGGCGCTGCAAAAGATGCAAGACACGAGCTAACGGTTACTTTTCCATCTAGCGCGTTTACGTAGAAAATCAATGGAAAAGTAGTACGTTGGAATGGAAAACCCCTTATTGTGTGAAGTTCTATCCTGTTTTTCACCTTATTTAACAGAAGATTAAACATTGAATGGAAATCAGCATTATAACAGAAATTATGTCAATTAAGCTCAACGTAATGAATCCGTATCGACTATTCCTTTGAATTGTCCATATCAGTAATTGGTATAAGAGATTTTGATAGTGTAAATGTGCAGTAAGGGTTTGGTCATGTTTCTCGCTAATCTGTCAGGCCTTTGTAAAGAGCACTCCTTGTGTGGGAACGCTGTGATATGCCCTCTGTTTCATCCACAGCTCGGAGAGGCATGTATCACCTAGCTGATAACAAAATTGTCTTTTGTTGTCTCCAACACTGTTATTTCTCATGTCGTAGCCGCTGTGTGATACAGGCATGCTGCATTGTGCAAAGATAAATGTCCTTTGCTTTTTTCAGGAAAAAAGCTGTTGAAACAGACCCACCAAGAAGCATTTAAAACTAACAATAGTGGAATAGTGCCATCAGAGGATATTTCTGCAAACACAACTCTTCCTCTGTTAGACCTCACCCAGCGCCTCTTCATGTGGGAGGCAACACTTCAACTAATTGCAGGTCAAATCAGTTCATAAATTGTATTAAATGGTTGCAAATATACTACCATTCAAAAGTTTGGGGTCAGTACAATTAAAAAAAAAAAAAAAACTTTTATTCCGCGAGGACACATTAAATTGATTAAAAATGACAGTAAAGACATTTATATCTTGGAAAAAAAGCTATTATGGTTTTAAAAAAAAAGACAAACAACTGCACATTTGTTTTCAACATTGATGATAATAGGAAATTTTTCTTGAGCAGAAAATCGGCATATTAGAATGTTTTCTGAAGGATCACTGACACTGAAGACTGGAGTAATGATGCTTCAGCTTTGCCATCATAGGAATAAATGACATTTTAAAATGTATTAAAACTGTTTGCATTAATATTTTACATGATTATAATCAGAATTCTCTACTTCTTTAAAATAACTTAAAAATGAGAAATGAGCAAACAAATCTGGAGTCTTTTATTTATTTATATTTTAGATTCCCAGATAGTTTTCCTGTCTGGAGTTTAGCTCGGCTTTGAGCTTTTTGAACTTGTACCTCAGACATCACTCCCCTTATTGTCTGTGGATTAGTAAAAGGCTTTATCTGCTGATTAATAATTAATGAGAGGGGAAGAATCTGTATGATTAGTATTCACAGTTTTATATCCTCTCTGTAAAAAGTCTCTGAACTCCGAAAGAGCCTCAAATATTAGGATAATTTCAGGCAAGAAAAATAAAACTGCCCTGCTGTATAATGAAGATATTAAAGGTGACAAAACCTCACTTGAGCACAGCTTATCATCAAAGGCTTCTCTGCGGATTTGCGAGTTTTGTTTAAAACAATGACGGGAGTCTCTCCCATTTAAGCGTGCGTTTGTTTCAGAATGGATTAATGTTACAAACGCGCTTCACATCTTTAACCACCAAACGGGCTTTCAGTAGTTTCTGGTTAAGAAACAAACCTGTTATGTTTCTGAACTCCGGAAGGCATTGTCTCTTGAGACTCCCTCAACCAGCTTCTGTTTCTGATGTTTCTATATTCATATCTCTCTTTTTTTTTTCTTTTTTTGGTTATTATTCATTTTAATCCACCCTTGCACTTTCAGAAACATTTAGTCTTAACACCAAGCTTTCTGGATTTAACAGAAACTGTTTCGACATTTTTTTTCTGACGTGTATGAAATCTGACATATCAACTGTGTGAAAATATATTATTAATATTATGCAAAAACAACTTATTGTTGTGCTCTTTAAAAAGTAAAGGACCCCTTCTCTCTGACAGGAGGCTGTTTATTTTTAGCTAACCTGCTGCTTGCTCTGTGAACCGTTGGGCCATGTTGCGCATGTGATGCCGTCAGAACAGCGGCTTCCTCTGGCAGGGAGAATTCTGGGAGGGTTTTTGGACATCTCTTTTATGTACCTCAGGTCACCTCATGGCTTGGTTATGGAAGATCATGCTGTTGCCATAGCGATCAAGGCCCTTTTGAAGGCAGGTTACTTGGCACGGCATGTGCATCTTTTCCAGCGTTTCAGCAAACCTCCCCCCAACAGCGGATTTGTTGGCGTTTTTGGTGATTGATTTGGATTTTAGAGGGGGAGAGCGGGGGACAACAACTTTGATGTGAGTTCAAAGAATGGAAATTAAACTAGGGCATATTTAGATTATAGTTATTCTTTCAATGTATTTGAGAAAGCTGAGTTTATTCTGGCCGTGGTGAATAAATAAGTGTCTTGTGGAGGACAGCTGTGTTTGAAACAAGGAAGGGATGCTGTAAACTTTCACATCTGTTCTGGAGCAGTTTGCTGGATGTCTCAGGTGTGTCATTGGAAGTGAAACAAAATAATGACAACGGGAACACAATACACGGGATCTCTATGAATCGGGTTCCATTTTTGATTTGTTGCAAGTA